GGGTCCTTTGGGCTTGCTTCCCCTCCCCCCACTGCTTCCGGGGGGGGGGAGAGGAAAGGAAGAGAGGCGGGAGGGGGCCCGTTGTCTTGCAACAGCCGAAGCCTTCCAATGGGTCGGTTTCCATCCATCCTTCCATCAGAAGGGCCCTTGGAGGTCTTCTAGTCTGACCCCCAGCTCAGGCAGGAGACCTTCGACCATTTCAATCCATCAGTCAGAATAGAGCCGGAAGGAGGCCTTCTAGTCCAATCCTGGGCAGAACCTGGGGGCTCCATGAGATCTAGTCACCTGGCTGGCGTTTTTTTGCAAGGGGGCCTGATGGAGCTTGGTTACATTGGCTTTGCTGGGGGGGGGGGGGGGGGGGGGGGGGGGCACAGGTGTGGGGCTGGGTGGGGTTTGCAGGAGCTCCCATGCCAGGTGGACGGTGGTGGGTGAGGTGGACCAGGGGCCCTAGGTGTGTGTGTGTGTGTGAGTGTTGGGTCATTTCTTCTTGCAGGCCTTGTCCAAGGGATAGTGGGTGGGGTTGTTTTTTTGCAGTTTATGGATCATTTGGCCTGTTGGAAAGTTGATTTAAATGTATTGTGTGTGTGAAAAGCTTTGCAAACTTGGAAATAGGCTGTTTTATTAGCAGTCCTTATGGAAACATGGGCCTGGGAAGGGAGTATATCTATTTTAAAGTAGAAGTTAATGTCATATAGCAAGTCCTTGACTTATGACCACAGTTGAGTCCAAAAATATCTGTTGCTTAAGCGAGAGACGCATATAAAGTTAAAGAAGTAACACCCTAGCCCATTTTAAGAGGGAAGAGCATGCTTCTAAATTCACCTCAGTAGATTGCAACAGCTCATTCAGAAACATTTGGAGAGGAGCCCAATTCCCCCCTTATTTCTAGGATGTGAGTTTTGGAAGCCTTTATAGAGTTGTTGTTTCCCCCCCCCCAACAAAATGGGGGGAAAGGGAAATAAAAATTTTCTTCTCCTTGATCCTCCATCCCCATTCTAAACACCCAGGTGCTTTGGTTTATTTATTGCTTTACTTATTAAACTTGTATCCTGCCCATCTCCCCATTTCCATCTCGCCCCCTCCTGTGCCCTGCAGGCGATCCTTTAATTAGCACCCAGCTGCCTTTTTGTGCCCCCTCCTCTCCCCGTTGTGGTTGGATTGACACCCCTGTTTTTCTTCCTTCCTTCTCCAGGAGGCGAGAGGGCCGTGCCCCAATGGAGCCACCACCGTCGGAAACCGCTGCCTTGGACAGAGTTGCAACGGCTGGCAAGAAGAGGAGAGGACGTGGTGGAAGACTTGGATTTTTCCGATGGAGACTGATGGATGGACAGATTTTGGGGGGGTGTAACTGGACAGCTGTTGCCACTTGTGGAGGGCTGAGGAAGGGGCTGCATTGTTCCAGCTGGCCCTGAATCAGTGTTAATGCACTGGAGGGACATGCCAGAAAATTTTATCCTCCAGCAGGGGAGCTTAAAAAGACCACGATGGCTGAAAAAAAAAACCCTGCCTCTTTAGAATAATAATAATATGGATTCTTAAAACCATCTCAAAACAAAACCTTCTTTAAAAAATAAAAAGCCAGGCCAGCCTTCCATGCTGCCCCTTCCTCTTCGG